CCTACCGAACAGCAGCCGCTGCTTTCGACAATCAAGGACTTCGTCCGCGAAGAGGTAGTGCGCCAGCTGTCACTGCTGCCACTGACACATGAGCCCACGCAAGCTTTGGCACCGGACCTCCAACCCGTCATTCGGACCCAAGTCGCTGAAGCCCTTCCGCCGGTGCATCAGCAACCACCAGCCACTACGCCTCTCACGTACGCCGCCGTCGCTGCTCGTCCTACGCAACAGCGTATGCCATATGCTCAACCTGCCACGCCACCCTATGTCGTGCCTACAACCCCAATTGCTGTGCCGTATCCCTACGCGAGATCTTCAGCTCCATTTTACCGTCGCTCAGACGCTTGGAGGACGCCGGATAATAGGCCCATCTGTTTCGCCTGTGGTATCGCTGGACACGTCGCCCGCCACTGTCGCCGAGATCCCCCTCCAGTCGACACTGTGGGCAGGCCAATGGCGTCGTCTAGGACGCCATCAAGGTACACCACTGACGGTCCTCGACCCTACGCAAACCATCGGTCACCATCGCCCCGACGACGCTCCCTGCCACCAATGAATCGCCGACCTGCTACGGAAGAGGGAATCTGATCGCTGCAGCTTCGGAGGCAACAGCTGCATACAATTCGAACTGCTTAAGGCCTCCATCTTTCTCGCCGCAAAACGTTATTGACGTCAATGTTGAGGGGACCGCTGCACAAGCGCTAATCGACACAGGGGCCGCCGTTTCCATAATCTCTGAGACCTTATGCCGCAAGTTGAAAAAGGTGACGACGCCTCTTTCGGGCCTGATGCTCCACACGGCAAACTCGCAGTGCATAGAACCTACAGCTGTGTGCACTGCACGTGTCATTATCCAAGGTGAACTTTATGCCATTGAATTTTTTGTGCTGGCATCATGCTCCCGCGAAGTCATTCTTGCATGGGACTTTCTTTCCCGTCATCGGGCCATCATAGATTGCTCACGTGCAGAAGTTGCCCTTACACCGCTGCCAACCTCTTGTTTGGTGGATTCTCTTCCTGAACCTTACAAACTTGTCGTTGTTGCAGACACGGAAATAGCACCGAGAACATCCACCCTTGTAGCCCTGACCTGTACGGCCGTTCCTGCCGGAACTGTTTTGTTCACCCCGTCTGACGTATTTACCCGCGGCCGTAGCCTACACCTGCCCTTTGTTGTACTCATCGTGGAATCCGGTGCTACCGCCATGCTCGTCGCGAACTCGCTATCGTCGCCAGTTACCTTACTTCGCGGAGAATGTTTTGGTAACATACAAGACGTTGACCTCTTGCGCCCTCTAGAGTTCGCCGAACACGCACCTCATCTCCAGCTCAATGCTATGACGCCACCTGGGGCCACACTGCCCGCGCCAGACTCATTCCAGCCCTCTGTTGCCGCTGAGCTATCGCCGACACAAAGAAGGGAACTCTTGTCCCTTCTTCGAGAGTTCCGTTCTGCCTTCGATTGCGCTCAAGCGTCTTTGGGTCGCACAGCGAACATCACGCACCACATTGACACCGGTACTCATGCTCCCTTACGCCAACGACCATATCGAGTTTCAGCGGAAGAGCGCCGTATTATCAACGAACAAGTCGACGATATGCTCAAGCGTGGTGTCATCCAGCCATCGCAGAGCCCTTGGTCGTCCCCTGTTGTACTTGTGCGCAAAAAGGATGGGTCTATCCGACTCTGTGTTGACTACCGCCGGCTCAATGAGATAACTCGGAAGGATGTGTACCCGTTGCCACGCATCGACGACGCTCTCGATTGCTTGCAAGGGGCAGAATATTTCTCCTCTTTAGATTTACGCTCAGGATATTGGCAAGTTCCAATGGCTGATCCTGACCGATCGAAGACTGCATTTGTAACACCTGATGGGCTGTATGAGTTTAACGTCATGCCGTTTGGACTCTGCAACGCCCCAGCTACCTTCGAACGGATGATGGACACCATCCTTCGCGGCTACAAGTGGAACACGTGCCTTTGCTACCTAGACGACATCGTCGTTCTTTCTCTCGACTTTTCAACTCACCTTGTTCGTCTTCGTGCTATTCTCACGTGTCTCACCTCTGCTAGCCTTCAACTTAACATCGAGAAGTGCCATTTTGCCGCACGTCAGCTCACTATACTGGGTCACGTCGTCTGCAAAGAGGGTGTTCTCCCGGATCCGGCGAAACTCGGCGCCGTGGCCGACTATCCGAAGCCCAATTGCATCAAGACGCTTCGAAGTTTTATCGGCCTGTGCTTATACTTTCGTTGATTTGTGCGCAACTTCTCTTCCATCATCGCGCCTCTTACGAACCTGTTGACAACTTCCAAAGGCATTTCTGCTTGGTCAAAAGAGTGCGACGAATCCTTCACCGCGCTTCGGCGGTTATTACTATCACCTCCAATACTACGTCAATTTGACCCTGATGCGCCTACGGAGGTCCACACCGACGCCAGTGGTGTCGGTCTTGGTGCTGTATTGGCTCAACGAAAACCAGGGTACCAAGAATACGTTGTCGCTTACGCGAGTCGAACCCTCAAAAAAGCCGAGTGTAATTATTCTGTCACGAAAAAAGAGTGCCTCGCAATTGTCTGGGCTTTGACGAAGTTCCGCCCATACCTTTATGGCCGCCCTTTCGAAGTCGTCACGGGCCACCACGCTCTATGCTGGCTATCATCGCTCAAAGACCCGTCGGGGCGCCTTGGTCGTTGGGCGCTTCGCCTACAGGAATACGACATTCGTGTTGTATACCGATCTGGCCGCAAGCACTCCGACGCTGATGCGCCATCCCGCTCGCCGCTACCGGCTGACCCAACCCCCTCGTCACCTTCTTCAGCTGTCATAACACCAATCGACTTCACAGACATGGCATCGGAACAACGCAAAGATGTGTGGATTTCCCAACTCCTCGCCTTTCTGACTGATCCGTTAGCTAATTTGGTCTCAAGAACTATCCGCCGTCAAGCCACACATTTCGCTATTCGAGACGGCCTACTCTATCGGCGGAATTACACGTCTGAAGGTCAGAAGTGGCTGTTAGTGATACCCAACCACATGCGCTCGGAAATCTGAACTGCTTTCCACAACGACCCGCAAAGCGCTCACGCTGGCGCTCTTAAAACGTACAACCGTTTACGTCAGCGGTACTACTGGCGCAGCATGTACACATTTGTCCGCAAGTACGTACGTGCTTGTACTGCATGCCAGCGACGTAAAGTCCCACCTCAACGCCCTGCCGGTACACTTCAGCCTCTGCCTTGTCCAGCGCGTCCGTTTGACCGCGTCGGTATCGACTTATACGGACCACTTCCCACGTCGTCTTCTGGAAATAGGTGGATAATTGTCGGCGTGGACCACCTCACGCGTTACGCGGAGACGGCAGCACTACCCGCAGCAACCGCGAGGGAAGTTGCGTTTTTCATCCTGCGCAACTTTTTTCTTCGCCATGGTGCTCCCCGCGAATTTTCGAGCGACCGGGGGCGTGTTTTCTTGTCTGACGCCAATCAAACGTTGCTCGCTCAGAGCAACATGGTTCATCGCATGACGACAGCATATCACCCGCAGACGAATGGCCTCACAGAACGATTTAATCGCACTCTCGGTGATATGTTGACGATGTACACAGCTTCAGACCAGACCAATTGGGACACTGTCCTTCCATTCGTCACGTATGCGTATAACACCGCTACGCACGCAACAACAGGGTTCTCCCCTTTCTTTCTGTTGTACGGACGCGATCCATCGTGCACGCTGGACACTATCCTCCCATACACGCCCGGCTCCTCTGAGTACACTGCAATTTCTGATGCTGCCAGGTACGCAGAAGATTGCAGACGATTGGCCCGTTCACTGACAACCGAGGACCAAGGCCACCAGAAGCTACGGCATGACACCGACCGACATCTCTCTACTTTCGCGACTGGTGTTATCGTTTGGCTCTGGATTCCACCGAGCACACCTGGCCTTTCGTCGAAATTACTGGCATGATACCACAAGCCCTACCGCATTCTCGCCAGTACGTCACCAGTCAATTATGAGATTGAGCCTTTGACACAGTCTCATGACTTATGCCGTCGTGGCCGAGAAATTGTGCATGTGAGTCGCCTGAAGCCGTATTACGACCCCGCTGTAGTGACTACGCCTTATGTCGCCAGGTTGGCTACGCTATTCACCGGGGGCCAATGTAGGGAACTATGCGAACGACGACGAAGCAGCATGAAACGGCAAGCCACAGCGTTGGTGCACGGGCGCGACCCGAGCTGGCGTTTGTTTTGTATTTTCGGCCTGTTGGCGTTCCTCGGCCTTCCAGTAGGTCTGTACTGAAATAAACTGCGTGACAACCTGTACAATTGAAAAACTTCGAGAAGATTGTAACCACCCTGCCTACAACACAGGCACAAAGCGAAAGGTATGTATACATGTCGGTGTTGAACCCACCACACTACAAGGAGAGACTCAAACGTTAAAACAAATGGCGGCCTGTCCTGCCAGCAAGACGATTATAATGCTTGTTACTTCCACATATGATAACAATTGAAAAACTAAGTTCTTTCAGAATTTTCCACACGTAGCCTGTCTCCAGAAGGTGCCTAAGGTTTGGTAGCACGATACTTCGTGATACTGATTGATTGAATTTCGCTGAACAAGCGACATACGTGCGTGTTTTGGCAAGTTGAAGACCAACGTTTTTAACCGAATAGCCTGTGCAGTAAAACTGCTCAAACCAATGCTTCATGGGGTCATTAGCACGTGCATAGCATTCGTAATACCAGGAACATTATGAGAGTGCGCACACCATTGACACCGACAAGGCACTATCCGCGAGGCTGCAACCACACAGCAGATTCCATAGCGGCAACATCCTGCGCAGTGTAAGCTGTCCATGGCTTTAATATTTACATCTCTTAGGCAACTGCATAAAGCGACAGCGAAAAATCTCCTTTTTTTTATATGTGCCTAGTCCTTCAATAAACTTTCTTATAATGTTGATAGTGCTACTAACCAAAAGCTTACCTTCAAAGTGTTCTCTTAGGTACATAAGGCAGAGCTCTGCAGGAATGCTGTCAAAGCCACAAGCGCCCAGGACCACAATGCCCTTCTCACGAGCCTCATCATAGAACTCCAGCTGCATCCTCTCAAGGTACTGGAAAAAATAATTTGCTTATGAACCTCTTCAATATCTACAGTGCAAAAAACAATATGTTGAGCTTATTGAGCTAGAATGTTAGTCTATTTTGATTGCTGATAACTGTTAGCAATTTTCCTTTGATTATTATTTTTTCAATTCTCAGCATACAAGTTTTTTTACTTTCCAAAGCACTGTTCCCAGCTTCATTATTTAACAAATCCAATCCCAACAACACACCACAAAACAAGGTTTCTGACTGAAGTTGAAACTCAAGAAATATAGTTCATGTGAATGACAATCTTCCTCAATAAACATCTTAGAAACTGGAATGTTCAGGGGTGGAAGCGGGCTTCCGTCTTTTGGAGCAGCTTTGGGAGCAGTAAAATATGGGTTGTGGAGCCGCTCTGGAGCAACAAAATGTGTGTTTTGGAGCATCGGAATTTAGTTTTGGAGCAGATTGCTCGGGCTACACATCACTATTAATTAGAATTTCTGCTTTGGGGTAAACATATAACATTTGAGTGGTTTTTACTAAGCATGTGATGCTAATCAAGCGACCACACTTACCCAAATATTACATATATTAAACCTTACATCAAAGGTGAAAGCACAACACTCAAGGAAAAAACATAAGCGGCGTTCTGGACAGCTACTAGACCTCAAAGGAATGAAAAAAGTTCCCGTAAAAATGTTGCAATGTTCAAAATGTGATTAAAACAGTGCATCCAACATGAACAGCAACTCAGGACTAGAGATGAGCTACTATATAATAAAAGTTATTTTCATACTAAACTCATAGGGCTCTACAGAAATAAATGCAAAAACTTATCTTCCGGTCATTGAAGTGCAACAGATGACATGAGAACCACGAGGAAATTTAGATGCGCTTGCCGTGCCATTGCTAGGCAATTAAGTAAATTTTTTATTACGATAGTAACTATATGGACACTCAAAAGGTTTTTGCCGACGCCGCCATGTTCTGAGTAAACTACAAGTTGGTACCATTCCCAGCGCATCCTACCTTCGAACAGCGTATAAAATTGAGCAAGCTGGGGTGATGAGCACTGCTAGAGCAGAGATTAAACGAGATGGCCGATCTCCGTCGCTCAGAGTGTGCACGCTTTAGCATCCCACCCGTGTTAGAACTGCCGTCGAATGCTCAAGCAGAGAGGAGACATGCCGCCCGTCTTGAACAAGTATGAAAAGACGCGGGGAAAGGGGGGGGTCGCTCGAGTAGCAGCCGTGAGCTTTGAATCTGGCGCGTGCAATGTCCGCAAGCATCAGCACACGGCTCGTAAACCGTTATACGTGGTGCGCTCTCAATGGGAAAAGATTGCACGATAAGAGCATTTTCCCTGAAGCGAACGTTCTTATTACACCAACGTTTCATAGTTGTGAGTTTCACTATGCCAGATCCAAAAGAGTTAACTGTCGGCCTTCGTACTGTCATGAGGTCGCGAAGCCAACGAAGGGGCCAGTAGCTGTTTTCATGAGAAAACTTTTTATTTGGGCTAACCTGTGCCTGGAAAACGAAGCATCATCTACAAGCAAAACACGCTGTAGACTGGAGCACCAGAGTGATCAGGGATAGTGCAACAATACTCAATATATGCGTTACAAATTCAAACCCATCAAAGACCATAAGTGCTATCGTGTCAAGTGAACTTAGCGATCCTTTGCCAGTGTTTTTTTCATACCCTTGTCAATGAAACATCGAAAGCAACAGAAGAAAACCTTTGTCCAACGCAACATAAATAGTGAAAATAAAAGCTTATTCTTTTCGCTCGTCAAAGCAGTAGATTGGGATAATATATATATAAAAGATGATGAAGCCTATAAGGAGTTTTTGAACGTGTTATATCACTGTTACAACGCGACATTTCCCAGGCAAGAAGTATCTTTTTTAATGTATTCAAACGAAAAATTGCCTTTTAAAAAAATTTGTAAGTTTATGAAACCGGAAGCATTTGTAGAGTAAAAAAAATACCGTAACGCACTTACATCAGATTTAAAAAGAGGTGAAACGAGAATATTATCAGAAAACATTTCGGAACATGTGCGATGACCGAAGATTTGGGAAACAGTGGATGCCCTTACTAGGAGAAAGAAACTGAGATGTGATATCACACAAACGCAAGAGAGTCATGGTGCTGCGAGAACGTGGTGTGGCGAGAACCTAGCCAATGCCATAATTTGTCATTTCACCAATGCGGGCACGTACAGTGGCTTTTTCTAAAGCAAAGTTGACTCGTCCTTTGAAGGAACTACAGCTATGCAGAATTCGATCTTTATGCTTCCTACTGACAATGCTGAGATTGCTAGCCTAATAAGTGAACTAAAAGGCAATGTGGCGCCAGGTATAGATGAAATCACCCCAGCTGAACTAAAGTTCATGTGTTCGCTAACATCCGAGATACCTGCATACATAATAAATCTTGTACTGACAACAGGCATATTTCCGGCACAGTTGAAGGTTGCAAGGGTAATGTCAATTTAAAAAAAGAGATGGCATTAAAATTATTTCAAATCATAGACCCGTTTCAGTACTTTTGACATTATCAAAGGTTTTTGAAGGCGTTATGTACGACAGGCTGGCATTAAAATTATTTCAAATCATAGACCCGTTTCAGTACTTTTGACATTATCAAAGGTGTTTGAAGGCGTTATGTACGACAGGCTGTTATCCTTTTTCAATAAGTATGGCATCAACACAACATGTCAATATAGTTTCCAGAAAAATAAGTCAACTGAACAAGTGCTATTGATTATTAAAAATCAAATTCTCCTAGTTCCTTTGAACGCCTCATGGATATTGTTCTCGGCGACAGGCGGTACAAGTTCGCAATGGCATATATGGACGATGTTGCCCCGCCGCAGTGGTCTAGTGGCTAAAGTACTCGGCTGTTGACCTGTAGGTCGCGGGATCAAATCCCGGCTGCGGCGGCTGCATTTCCGATGGAGGCGGAAATGTTGTAGGCCCGTGTGCTCAGATTCGGGCGCACGTTAAAGAACCCCAGGTGGTCGAAATTTCCGGAGCCCTCCACTACGGTGTCTCTCATAATCATATGGTGGTTTTGGGACGTTAAACCCCACATATCAATCAAGCTTTTACAAAGCTATCTGCATAACTGGTACCAACTAGTACAAATGAAGACAGCTTCAGTTGACCCAAGGAATTCCGCAAGGTTCTATAATGAGTCCTTTGCTGTTTGTGCTTTATGTTAATAATATTGTATGCATACTCACCTCACCACCACTTATGTATGCAGACGACACAAACGAATTCTTTACTTCAGATCACTTAGAAACACTTGAAAAAAATGTAAATGAGTATATGGACGTCGCTCCCAAACTGGCTTAAACAAAACAAGCTACACCAACAACTCTTAAAAAAATTATGCGTGGAACGTGAGCCGCGCACGCGCTGCCCTACTCTCCGATTTTACCCTCCTCCTTTGGTATGGAGGCAAGCGTCTCCGACGGCCGCCCCCTGCAAAGACAACAATGCTCTCACAGTTGCCTCCAAGCAGCCATGATGTGAGGTGACAGAACAGTACGATTATGTCACGTGACTGAGCGGTACAGAGGCGAGCGGTCTCACACGGCGGCCAGTCGCAACACAAGGTAGGAATGGCCTCCGAGATTGCTTGCTGGCAGGAGGCTCCCAATTGAAAAGAGAACGACGTTCCAGGCATAGTTTTTCTAGGAGGCGTTGGCTACACTTAAATGCCAAGAAAACGACATACTGTCACGGGGTCGTGACGTGTCCGAAGACTGGAGACTTTGCGTTGGAATTTAACTGTTTATTTGGGCGAACCTGTGCCCAGTAATTGGAAAGTCCAATTACAGTAGCAGTCTTGCACAGATAGCAGTGAACGGAGGGTCGGCCGTCAATCAACTACTGACAAGCGGCGAAGCGCCTCGGCATTTATACTCTTGTCGTCGAATGTTCTAGCATTATCGCTGGCGGTAACGACGACGACTACTACTACTATACTACGACTACTACTACACTACTACCACTACTACTACACTACTACCACTACACTATGACTACTACTACACTACTACTACTACACTACTACTATTACACTACACCACCACCACCACCACATGTGCATTTTCCATATGTGCACACTGTACCATATGTGCACACTGTACATTTTCGAGGATGATGCCGCTGTTCCTCGCACAGGCCGCCACGTGTGTTTACTTCTCATAGATAAATAGCCAGCGTGGCGAATATTTCATCACGCACTTTATCACACACCTAGATGTTCTCCGACACTTGCTACAGCTAATGTTGCCACTGTGAGATGAAGATTAAGCTTTCAAAAAGAAAAAAAAAATGCCCCAAACACCAAGCGACTGCACCCCACTCAGGCACCGGCGGGAGTGTTTTGCCAACCACCGCCTTGCCCGCGCACCGGTGACGTCACGCTGTGACGAACCCCGGTAGAGGTCTATTGGCGCAGCACTTCTGCCCCTGAGTGTCCTTATAGCTCATTGTATTGCGACTCGTTTCCCTTTACCGTGTCGACGTTTAGTAGAGTCCTCTGTCGTTAACGGGCTGCTCCATTTTTTACGGTTGCCGTTGATTGATCCCTTTTGAATGAGCCGCTCATTCTCATCGCCAGTGTTTCGGTCTTCGTCGGTCTTCGCTGGGCTAAGCTTAGCTCGTCATGAACTCCCCTACTGACAGGTCCACTCTACTGACTGGTGTGGGCTGCTCTCAACCTAGCGCGATGTGGGATGGCTGCAAGACCACCAGGAACTGCTGGGCAAGGCTGCGACAAGTCCGGGCAGCCTCACTCGTGAGCACTTCCGAGGTCGATGGCCACTACCCTGGCCTCTCACGCCGACATCCTTCAGAACCGGGCGGCTATCCTGCTTCCGTCACTGTAGGGACACGGGTTTCCCATGCCCTCGCAGCTTGTTTTCTGCAATTTTTCTTCACAACTCAGGTATTGTGCCATGAGCCTTTTTCCAACAAATTTCCTGCTTCAACGTGGCTG